GAATAAAATGAATGGAGAAATGAGCTTCACAATTTACACAAAAATAAGTTCAAACTTGTGCATCACCTCAAATTTAACATGTAAAACTGTAAAAATCCTAAATGAAAACACAGACAAAAGTTTTCCCCAATATTGTGAAGGGCGGATAATGTTTTAAATTCAACACCAAGAGGCAGTTAATGAAAGAAAAATGATTCAATTTGTAGATTTTATTAAAACTGAAAATGTTTACTCTGTAAAAGATCCTGTTAACAGAATGAAAAGCAGCCACAGATTGGGAGAAATATTTGTAAAACATATCTGAACAATGACTTATCAAAAATACACAAAGATCTCTAAAATTCAAAAAGAATAAACAGTCTGACATAAACAATTAACAATCTTCAGACACTTCACTGTAGAATATATACAACGGCAAATAAGTTTAACAATAACAAAAAAAGCTCAACAGCATGTCATTAGGGAATTGTAAATTAAAACAACAGTGAGAGTCCTCTGGTGATTAATTTAGGTGTCAATTCAGAGATGGAGAGTCGTTAAAATATTAATTCCAGGTGTGTTCGTGAGAGTGTTTTGGGAATAGATTAGCATTTGAATCAAAAGACTGATAAAGAAAATAGCCCTCACCAACGGACATGCTTATCATCTACTTTATGAGTGTTCAGATGAAACAAAAAGATGGAAGTAGAGTGAATTACCTTTCTGGCCAAAATTGGGAACTCCAATTGCCTCCGCCCTCTTGGTTCTTGGGTGTTCCAAGTCCAAGACATCACCTCACCCAACACTTCCCCTGCTCTACTCAAGCCTTTACACATGGACTGAGTTACACCATTGGTTTTTCTGGTTCTCCAGCTTGCAGATGGCAGATGGTAGGACTCTCAGTCTCCATAAGCACATTATTCAATTTGTCTCTGGAGGTTCAAGGAACTCTTGAAGAGGAGGAACTGGACTAAGAATAAATGGGATCTTTGGCATGTGTGGATGAAAATAATTTCAGCATATGCCATTTAGAGACACTGGTAGATTTATTTCAAAAAGCAGATATACATAAGGGAGAATGTGGGCCATCTCAGGGAAGATAATTTTTGGGATAAAGAAATACTCATTCAAGGGAGAATGCTGGCCATCTTTAGTACAAGGGAGAATGCCAGACATCTTGAGTGAGAAGCTTTGAGGAAAAGCAAAGAATACACATTGAAGAGAGAATGCAAACTACCTTCAGAGGGAGTAACAGCAATCCCATGGTATGGGGTGTTAATATTTACAGAGGGATGGTAGCTAAGACCTGTACCAGAGGTGGAGTCAGGGGATAGTTACACAATATCATACCAGTTTTACCCATGCTTGTGCATTACTTTCATGTGACTTTTTGTAGGAAGTGATGTATTATATATCCTATTGGCTCTATTTCTTTGGAGAAGCCTGTGTAATACAGATAGCACGACTTACCTGTTAGAATGACTCAAATCTAAAAATATTGACAATAGAAATTGCTAAGAATTAGTAATAACAGGAATTCATTGCTGGTGAATGAGTTCACTCATAATGATACAATAGCTATTGATCATGGGAGTTTTGTCTCATAGTCAAAACATAGTCTTAATAAAAGACTAAACATAGTTAAAATATAAACAGTTTTTTTAAAAAAATCCATTTATTCTAATTTGCTATACATGACAGCAGAATGCATTTCAATTTATAGTATATAGAGAACCATTTTTCATGTCTCTAGTTGTACATCAAATAGAGTCACACCATTCATGTCTTAGGGTAATGATGTCCCCCTCTACCATCTTTCCTACCCCCATTCCCCTTTCCTTCCCTCTACCCCCTTTCCATATCTAAATTTTCTCCATTTCTCCCATGCTCCCACCCACCCCTATTATGGATCAGCATCCACATATCAGTGAAAACCTTCAGCATTTGTTTTTTTGGGGATTGGCTTACTTCACTTAGTATAATATTCTCCTATTTCATCCATTTACCTGTAATAGTCATGATTTTATTCTCTTTTAATGCTGAGTAATATTCCATTGTGTATATATACCACAATTTCTTTATCCACACATTTACTGAAGAGCATCTAGGTTGGTTCCAAAATTTAGCTATTGTGAATTGTGCTGCTATAAACATTGATGTGGCTGTGTCCCTGTAGTATGCTGTTTTTAAGTCCTTTGGGTATATCTGAGGATTGGGATAGCTGGGTCAAATGGTGGTTCCGTTCCAAGTTTTCCAAGGAATCTCCATACTGTTTTCTAGATTGGTTGTACCAATTTG